GCAACGGTGTCTCGGCAAATTATCGAGGGCCAGATCCCTTTTGCAAGGCTTGCGGATCACCATTTGGCCCTAGATAATTTGGGCCGCTGCCACTTTGTCAATTGGCTGGATGGAAAACACAACAAAAGCGCTCCTGGAATATGCAGCCTGGGTCAAAGTTCCGGATGAGGAAAGACACAGCCGCAGGATCACGCTCAACCGCGTAGAGTTCCTGCACCCACTCTTTGCCAAGCATAGCTTGCAACACATAGATGGGTGTCCCAGTCCCGCTACACGATGTGGACACGCGGAGAATAGGCCAGCGTCGGGAGTCTGTGAGACGGTATCCTGCCTTCTGCCAAAGCCCCCTGACAAACTTCTTGAGTTTGAACTTGGTCATGAGTCCAGTGTCCACACTTTTGAAAGTGCTTGAGCCTGTCCTGGCAGAAGAAGGCCTTTTCATGGCCAACTTTTTCCCCATGATCAAGCAGGGTGGATCTTGGTACAAACTATAACTACACAGTCTGCGGGGCCGAAACTGGCAGAAAAAATGGCAAAGATGCGAGTGGAGAAGATGATACAGCGCTCACACACAAAAAACCGTAGGGTTCTAGTTTTTCCCTGCGGCTCTTGTCATGTCACAAAACTGAAGGTCTGTCGGCACACCCGCGCAAGCGTTGTTCACAAATAGAACTAACCATTGACAACTTGAGTCTTGATCGAACAGGCTGCACACAATCAGCAACTAGCTTCGCCCCGACTTTGTCATGACAGACCCACGTCAACAAACGGCTACGGCTCATGGTCGCCACAGCGCCAACCACAGCTGCGAGCGGCTGCCCAAAAAGCTTGTCAGGCGATGGCACCAAGTAATGGCCCGGCTCTGCTGAGAACACATCAAAGAGAAGGCACCCCAACGCCCACACGTCAGCCCCAGCACAAATATGAACCTGACACAGAGCGAACCAGATTTAGTCCTGGATGAGTTCCACCCTGCATGCTGCTTTTCATTCGTTTGTTGAACCCCGCCTTCTGAACATGAGCTGATAGAAGCTCTGCAGGGCGGTAGGGCGCAGAATAGAGCGACTTGCCAGCGACTGCAGCGCCATTCTCCAAGCTCCGTGCTAAGCTGAAGTCTGCGAGCTTCACAATCAAATCGGCTGATGCCTCGAAAAGAATGCAATTGGCGGGCTTCAGATCCCCATGCAAAATCTGCTGACCATGCAAGAAGCCCAATGCCGTGGCAAGTTGATGAGCCCAGGCCCAACGCCTATGCAGCTTTCTTGGATACATTCCATTTGCCTCTGCGCCCAGCTTCTCTGAAGCAAGATGGTGGCTAAGAGGTCCGACCCCAAGTTCCAAGACCAGAGCCACCGTTGTCCCTGTGCAAAGTCCGAAAGTGCTCAGAATGAAAGGGTGCCGATGCTTGTGGAGGAAGGAGTGCTCCGCAGCTATGTCGTAGATGGAACATGGAGACGGGCCCTCCCCAAGTTTGGATGAGCGGGGCACCTTCACCGCTACCACTGGCAAGCCGGGAGCTGGCCCAACACTTGCAGAATACACAACGCCGTAAGTACCGAAACCCAATTGGTTGACACAGTTGACCTGCGTCCCCTGAAAGGAGAACGATACACATTTCTTCAAACTGGAATCTGGCACTGAGACAGGGGCAGGAGCATTTGCGGGGGACTGTGCACGAGCAGCTTCACGAATTTCCCGGTTACGTGCGGCCATCTTCAAAGCCTGCGAGCTGTAGAAATCCCGGGTGTTTGGAGAATGGCGCCTGGGCCATGATGGACACAAGGCAACGTTTTAAACCAACCTGAAACGGCACATGCTAAGCCATGGGCCACTTGGCGAGAAGGCTTGCCTACACATGAAACAAAGCTAAGGTGAGAGGTGAAGGCGGTAGCAAAACAAATACTGTACTTCTGAGGATGGCCTTGGTCTTGACAGCGGTTTTGGTCACAAGGCGGCGAACAGGTTTGCCACCATCAATCCCAGCTCGGCACATGGCTTGGCAAAACAAAGCATACCCACTTGGCGGCCGGGTCAGGCCCAAAGCCTTGTTGGACAACCTCATCCTTGAACAAGCTCGCATCAACAAAGTGGTCTGTGCCAAGGTGCACTTTACACTACTTAACGACATAACGATCCACAAAAGGAAAAGAAAAGAACACCTTTTCCCCTCTAAGCGGCCCCAAGATACAGCAGCGCTGAATCTTCAGCGCCAGAAACACTGCTTCGCAGCGCAACCCCTGCAGCGGCTGCACGTCAACCAACGTGCAGCCTTGTGCACTTCAACAGCAAGGCCGGCAAAGTCAGCGACGGCTTCTCGTCAGCGTGGCTGGGTTCATCACCGACCAAACGAAAAGATTTTGTAGGAAATTCCAACTTCTCTGGCATTTTGTCTGTGGTCACTTCCAGCCTCTTTCGGTCAGACTTCCCAACTTTCAACGTCGGGCTGATGCTGCAGCAATGTTCAAGGATTCTCATATGGTCAGGATGCTGCCTGCAAAAAGCTGCCGTCAGGAACAGGACTATGTGATGCTTTCGCATGAAGCTGGAGAAATAGAAGCACGTGCCGGCACCCTTCTCGCCCTTCCCGGCCAGAGAATCAAGCCAACTATGGTCGACAAGACGACCACCAGCAATGCGGGCGTACAGCCCGGTGGGACTTTCCCAAGATTCCAAGACATTGCGCACGAGGTACAAATCGGGCACCTCATCCCCAAGAACTCTCCTCAGGCCAAGGTTCAGTGGCACTGGCCGCTTGCAATCGTCTGCACGGTGCAAGCGCGGTTCTTGCGGCAAAGCAGGTGGTGGCTTTGGCTTCTGGCACGAGGGTGGAACTTCTGGCCGCATGAGGCCACCTTTCGCATCAACATACGGCGTGGGCTCGTTTGGCCTTTCTCGGAGTTTGGCAGCTTCTTTTTGCTTCAGGACATGCCTCTGTTTATCAATGGTATCTGTGCAAACTTCAGCGGCGCTAGATCTTTGCCGCTTTGCGTCACCTTCTTTCACATCACCAGGCCTCTTCCTCCGAGCCATGTCCCAACAAGCTTTTGACTGGGCTGAAAGCGCATGGGGGGCCTCTTTTGGAAAGTGGATGGGGCCAAGCGGGCCTGACCCCACTCCTCCACCTCCTTCATTCACCTTCTCCACTGCGGCCTTCACAGAAGCTGCGTGCTGTTTGAGTTGCTGGCCTTCTGCTTTAGGATTCGAAGCACGGAGCGAAGACAACCGAGGCTTGGAAGCTTTCAATGTACCGATCACATTAGCACATGGCTCCAAACTTCGGCCTGCGCAATTCCTTTCACCATACCAAAGCTTGTACAGCCGCATGGACTGCAAGCAATACTGGGATGCTGGAGATCGAACTTGCCCACCTCCAGCTGAAGCTTGTCGAGGCACGGCTTCAGTCAGCAACTGCTTGGGGTTCAAAGGTTCCCTTCTGCGACCGCCTAAATCTTGCGTCAAAACCTTCAAAGCTGCTTCAAGACCACCTTGGTCAACATGCCCGCGGCGCAACTGCGTCAGCTTGCACAACCCCAGGAATCTATCCACGGTGCCCGAGTTGGACATGCTGCTCAAGAAGACTTCGATCAAGTGGAGGCACGCAGTTGATTTGCTGCCACTCTTCCGGGCTTCTTGCCACGTTCGGAGCCAAGCTCGTTGGGAAATTGTTTCCGGCTCGTGGCACACCAATCTCTTGCTGGAAGGCCGCTTGGGCTTGTCTGAAGCAGCGACGCATACACCAGCTGGCGAAGCATGCCACAAAGCACGACAAAGGAGGCCTGCAAGCAGCGCTTTCCCCCAGCACACAATACCAGTAAACATGGATGTCTTCTCAGGGTGCAATCTTAGGAAAACAATCAGGGGTCGTGTATTGTTTGCTACTCATTGCAAAAAGAAAATACACCCATCATATAGCCTGTGGTGTGACCATTTCCGATGAAGGCTTTCCAGACTTCGCCAGAATCAAGGTTGAATCTGGTGGCCAGGGCTTTCAAAAAGCGCTTGCGGTCATTGATATGGATATTGTCAGACTCCAGGTTGAAAGCTGCAAAGCAATTGCTGTCCTAGCATGTGCTAGTGAACCCGCCCCGCCAAGTTAAGTTTATAATGCGCTTGTTGAAACGCGTCTTTCATCAATGGTCCTCGAAGCAGGGAAAGTTTGCATTGAAGAATGCTTCGAAAGTTTCAAAGCACCTCAGGAAGCTTAAGGCAACACTGGGCCTTTCGAATGGTCAACCATAACTGCTGCAGAGAACAAAAAACGAGACCCAGACTCTCGGGCAAAGCGAATCGGTTCTCTCCGTTTCGGCGATGATGGGGAAGGCCACCTCAAGCAAGCAGCGGTCGAAGCATCGCTACCAAGGAATACCACTCGGCCCGTCATTGCACGTAGCGCCGCATGGGTCAGGGTACCATCGGCCTCTGATAGGAACAGCCCGCCAGATGCCAGCAAAGCCCGCGTGGTCTGTAACAGTTCAGCAGCTCTTGGACCTGTCAGTGAATAGTCTGCGGCTGCTGAGTCGTCAAGCCGAATATAGCCCCATCCGATTACCATGGCGTCGGCAGCAACTGCAGCATTGATCACAGTTGTAAAACCAGAATCTCCGCTAAACTGCTCCAAAAGGTCCTTGGCTACTTGCACACTCTCTCGCTCAGACGGTGCTGAGCTTTGAGTGAGTTTCTGCAGCGTGTCTATAGCAACTGGTAGTAAAGTGAACAGCCTGAACAAAGGCCTGGCACGGCTGTCGTACCGCTGTTCAGCATAGGCCAGGTTCCGGATGGTCTTCGCAAAGCCAAGGCCGGTTTCTCCTTTCTCTTCCGCCTGGGACTCCTCAAAGAGTTTCCTGTATCTGCAGTTTGTCTCCAAGAGGCTCGCTAAGCTCCGAGGGCCTGTGACTAAAGCCTCCAAAAACGTTGTGACTTTCTCTTGCATGGCGCTCCAAGTACCACGAAGCACAGATCGGTGTCGGTGTGGCCTGTCTCTGTCAATCAAGCGCAAGTTGCTGAACATCACGTCGGGCACAGCAGTGAGTGAGCGCCCTAAAGGTGACATGTCAAAGAGAGCCCTTTGCTCAACCGGACCACCATCTGCCACGGCGCAAGACACTGTTGCGCAGAAGGAGCGTAAGATCTCCTGCGCAAAAGAATGCAACAAACAACGGCGAGAGTGGGAAAGAAAAGCGGCCTTTAACTGTATTAACTTAAACGGTGGTTTACCTTAGTTTAGGCCTAGGCGGTTTAGGCAAAGCATGGCAAAGCGCCTCAGACTTGTCCAACTCATCATCCTCAGACCGGTAGACACTCCCTTCCCGGCGTGGCTTCTCCGAGAAGCAAGCAGACCGCTGGAGGATTGCACGGGTTGCATTCTTGAGATCAGCAACTTGGTGGCCAGCGTCAAGTTCAAGGCCTAGCACACAATCGAAGATGCCCTCTGGCAAGAGCATGCGAGAAATGAGCAATGTGATGTCACCGGATTTGTCCATGGCAATGCTTGATCTTGTGGCCTTCTGCATTGCTTGAGCATTGGCTCGCCGCAAGGGGCCCTCCAAGCAAGCAACTATCTTGCGACACTCGGCAGAATTGCCCTTGCCGCCACATTCAAGAGCTGAGCCAACTGACAAACCTTCTACTCTACGTTCATACGAAAGGTAAGAGCCATGATCTGCAACCACTTCTGCTGCAATCATGAAACGGTCCAGCCGAGGAACCCCTTCGATGCCTGAAACAGCCCCC